TCCCAGGAGGGAAGGTATTAGTGAAACCTTGAGGGCGGCACAGGTAGACCTGCTCGTGTAGACTGCCCTGAAGAAACGCAGTAGAGAAGTCGAGGGAGTGAAGCTCGTAGTCACGCCGAGCTGCCAGGTGTAGCACCACCCGAAGAGTATCTTCGGGGTCAGAGCGAAGGTCTGAAAGAAATCCACCCCCTCACGCTGACTGACCCCTCTAGCCACGTAGCGCGCCTTGAACACAGGCGGCTCTCCAGGAGGGCGCGTCACCTTGAAGAGCCAACGGCCATCGACTACGTTCACCCCAGGTGGAGGAACTACGTCGACGTAGGTGCCGGTAGATCTCCAAGATGCCATCTCCTGCTCCATGGCAGCTAACCACTGAGAGGCCCAGGGTCCCGAGACCGCCTCAACGTAAGTGCGAGGGGTCGGGATGTTGAAAGCGTCGGGGTCACCCTCAGGGACTAGAAGCCTGGAACAGAGATGGGGAGCAGCCTCGGACAGGAAAGCAAGCTTGTACTGGAGGTCCTCCAGGACGTCACTGCCAAGGGCAGGAGCACCCCCGACAGACGGAGGACAGGCAGGGTCAGAGACCAGAGCGGTGGCGTAGTCAAGGCGGCTGGTAGAGGCAAAGTCAGCGACCGCAGCGACAAGAGCGTCAAGACACGAGACCGGAACAGACGGATCGGTAACGAGAGAGGCAAGGACCCGAGGAACAAGGGGACGAGCGGCGCGAAGGTCGTCAGACAGAGGGGGAGGCGCAACAACAAGGGAGGACGGAGGAGGTGACAGTAGGAAGGGGGGACGAGATGCGTGGGAATGAAGCAACATAGGGTGAGAGCGTGGGACAGGGGGGACGAGGCGAGCATGGGAGGGACGGCGAGACCAGTTATGAGACGGAGGAGTCGGGTCAGGAGACAGATAAGGGGACACAAGAGGGGAACGAGGGGGGAGACGAGCCGGAGACGAGTCCGGGGGAGGGAACACAGGGCCGTAGACAGGAAGAGGAGGAGGCACACTCGCACGGTCAGGGGACGGAAGGCCGAGAAGGCGAAGAGCCGACACCGGCGAGGACTGTTGCTGCGGCGGGACGACACCGATACCGGGACCGCAAGCTGCTCGACGGCTACCTCCGGAACACACCACTCCAGCACCCCCAGAAGGAACACCCCCAGAGCACAGAACCCCTCGAGCACCGGTACCATCCCCAAGCCCGCTGGGACAGGCCACGACAGGAGTCCCAGGACGAGTACCCACCCCAACTCCAGCACCCCCAGAGTCAACGAACTGCTGCTGCGACGGCTGCGGCGACGATTACGGCAGTGGTGGCTGCAACGACGGCTGCGGCGGCGGCGGTGACGGCGACGGCGACAACGGTGGCGACGGCGGCTGTGGAGGCGGCGGAGGAGGAGACACCTGAGGAGGGGCAGGCGGCAAGGACTGCACCGCAGGACCACCAGAGTCAGCAGACTCCTCGACCGGGATAACCGACGTAAGGGGGGTGACGTGGGACACACCAGACGGGGCAGGACAGGGAGGGGGAGGTGGACGGGCAGGGACCACCAGGGAAGGGGTGACCAGGAACAGGGGGGGGGTAACCGGGGGACCTCGGTGGGGGAAGCGGTGGTAGAAGGAGACGGACTCGTCAAATGTGACGTCGCGGGAGTGAAAGAATCGGTAAGACGGCGGGTGGTAGAAGTGCCAGTCGGACGCGTCAAGGGGGAAACCGAGGAAGACACAGGGAAGGGTGCGGGCAGTGAGCTTGTCCGTGCCGGAGGCACGAACGTGAGCAAGGCAACACCAGACATGAAACGCACACGCGTCACCAGGAGACCCGGACCAAAGAAGGGTCGGCGAAACCTGCGGCTGCTGGGGGTGCGGCCACAGGTTAAGCTGGTGAGCAGTGTAGCGAACGGCGAACGACCACAAAAATGGGGTGCACTAGCATGGATCATGGAGGTACGAGCCACCTCCATGACCAAACCGATGCGTCGCTCAGCGACCCCATTCTGCTGCGGGGAGTCCGGCAAGGTGAACGTTTTGGTGATGCCCTCCGCATGACAGAAACGACCAAGGACACCAAGCCTTGGGATGAGAATGTCAGGCACGTCGGCCTTCCGCTCCAGGGGAAACACCGTGGTGTAGCGCGCGTAGTCATCGACAAGCACTAGGAAGTAGCGCTCTCGACGCGGCCCATGGACCGGGGCGGGTCCCCAGACGTCCATGTGCAGAGTCTGTAACAGTGCGGCGGTAGGGGGAAACGAGGAGGAGTAAGGCGCACAGCGGAGCCGGCCCTCGACACAGGGCGTGCACGGTGGTGCTGGGGAGGAGGGAAACTCGGGGAACGACCCTAGAAGACCTAGGACAAGACCGTGCCGTGACATGTGACGCAGACGCGGGAGCGCAGGGTGACCTAGACGGTGGTGCCACAGGAGTGTCAGGTGAGTGAGTGAATAACAAGAGCAGGCCGCAGCAACCTGGGTAGATGCAGGCACCTGAAGGGGCGTCCCAGCCGGGGGGGTCACGGTGTGCAGTGCTCGATTTGGCAGTTGTTTCATTCTGTCAGTTTTTTGTTAGAGCAATAAACCTGTGGATATTCTGTACAGAAGAATGGGGTCCATTACATGTGACAAACCCCACACAGCCAAGTTATCCTCCACATCCTTCAACCTTAGTGGTACCAACCATGCAACCAGGAGCATTGCCTACCATGACTTCCTTGACTACCATGCAACAGCATTGCCTACCATGACTTCCTTTGGTCGGCCATTCTGGATATCTGGTGTGCTACCATGATATAAGGACATGTGCATTTTAATACAACTATATAAACACCGAGAGCTGAGCTGATTGTGATGTTGTCAGTTCATTCATGTATTGCACAGCAATGGCAAGAATCAGAGAATCCACAGGGGACTCTGCTAGGGTACCTAAAACAGGTTTGCTCGAGGAGCCTTGCAACGTGACAGACTGCACATCATGCCAAATCATGCCACATCATGCCACATCATGCCACATCATGCTCCATCGTGGTACATCATCGACCACACCAAGCAAGAGCACAAAACGCCACTCCACGCTCTTCAAACCTGCCATTTCCTCTTCATTTCACCACCATCCAACAGCCCCTCCATCCTCCCCCACCACCCCCCACCCCCAAACCCCATGGCCTCACCATTATGATAGCGCATGGAGCACCTCTGCTGCCGGCAGCACTGCTGCACCAACAGCACAGCAGAGTCGCATGGCAGCTGCCCAACCCCAAGACCACCATGCCCACTGTCAACAAAAACATTTATATAGATTAGCTAGGTCATATTTGTTTATAGCCTACCTAGTTTAGTTCTTAGCGATTACAACCCTAGTTTTGTATCCCTCGACATTTTCCCTTAGCATACTTTTTCCGCTACTCTAACACCCACCTCATCTCCTCCATTGCCATCTCCATGCATCTCACATTCTGTTCCTCAAACACTCTCCCCAGACTCACCATGCATTTTGGGTCCGATCCTGCCCCTAGCCCCCATCTCACCTTACCCCGAGAGCTTGAAACCCGTAAGGCAAGTCAGGGGCAAGGGATCGGGCAAGGTGAGGGAGTAGCCTTTGAGGGTGGTTTGAACCGCCAGGAGAACACTAGTGCAAGACAAGTGCAACACAATAGAAGGTGGTCGTTTTCCAAAACAAAGGGCGATTGAGACACAAGAGAGGGGGATTGAGGCCTCAAGGCGAACCCAAGGCGAACCGAAGACACAGAAGGGAAGTTTCTCTACTTCTTGCTCGCCTTAACCTGTGTCTTAGTCTCAATCCCCCTCTCCCCCACTGCCCCTCGCATTACCCTGACAGGATTCAACGACCCCTGCTGCCCATGACACAACCTACCCTAGTTGTTTCAGACCCCTTCTTTCACCCTTGCCTTACCCTACGGGTTTCAGCCGCCCCCAGCTGGATGCCAGCCACCCTCAGCTGGACGGTAGCCACCCAAGGCAAGTTAGCTGGACGCCAGGCAGGTTAGTTGGACGCCAGTCGAGTCAGCTGGACGCCAGTCGAGTCAGCTGGACGCCAATCGAGTCAGCTTGACGCCAGTCGAGTCAGCTGGACGCCAGTCGAGTCAGCTGGATCCCAGTCGAGTCAGCTGGACGCCAGGCAAGTTAGCTGAACGCCAGGCGAGTTAGCTGGACGCCAGGCAAGCTTACGCTATGGCCGAGCTGTTGGCCCTACGACTGAGCTGCTTACCCTATGCCCGAGCTGCTGACCCTTTGGCCGAGCCAGCACCCCCATGTCAAGGAACCTCGTAGAGTTCACGAGGAATTTCCGAGCTCGCACTCGCGGGTTGGTTGGCGACACTCGCATGCTGCGATCGCACCCAATTCGGGTGGCGCGACTCGATGGTCGGTGGCATTATGCGACTGTCGTGATTGGTCACAATGTTTTATTGCGCTTTTTTAGCGAAGTCAACAGTAGATGTATACCGTACAGACGGAGTAAACCGTGGCGGATCTTATCAAATTCCGGACCTTGGAGTATTATATAGAGTAAAATGTCATGGACCTAATGGCATACCCGCTGTAGGTGTTGGGAGGGGAGCGCAAGCAACTGGCCTCGCCTAGCCAATCTCAAAACGGCAAGCGGCAGGTTGCGCTCAAAACTATAGGCCGCATCGTTGCACGCGTGCCGGTTCACCAAACCGGAGAGAAAGTAGAGTGTTGGTGAAATATATGTATGTCGACGAATATCGAAGTGAGGGAACAAGGCTTCGGGAATACACCTTCTTGATTGTTCTCTAAACTTTATGGAACTTCACGCTTATGACACCAGATCGAAACCAGTTACAGCGAGTACATGTGTTTTTTGCAGCCAATCCCTGGGCTGGCAGTGTCTGACTGCTCTGTCGGTGTCGGGGGTGCAGCTAATCCCGAGGCTGCAATGCACATCCCCTCCCTGACGTTTTGCTTTGCAGGGATAGTGCTGGTTTCCCTTCCCTACCACCAAGGTTTCCCAGTCTGCCTGCAGCTCACATTTTGCTCCTGCTGGCCCAACGGTCAAGTCTTGCGATGCGATGCGGGCAGTGCGTTGCTGTCGGCTCAAGGAATTCAAGTCAAGAATCATGCATTCAGCTTCAGCTGCTCTTCCGTCATTGTATTGTACGTTAGCGTGGTAGCAAGCTAGCGAGTCGTAGGCCAGTTCTTGAATGCTAGACCAACCAGTGGGTGCTTGATTGAAGAGGACTCGAAATCAGAAGCTCGTCTCTGGACTTCTACGCGATGCGGGCAAGTTATCCACATCTAGGCTGATTTCACTGTTCATTTCTGGATTGAGATCATGTAGCAAAGGAATTGGCCTTAATTTCATGGCGAGAGCCTTCCTTCCGCCAGAGTGCGACGATTTCGACGTTCTGATCATCGTCGCATTCCGACGCACATTGGTACGCTGAAGCAGTAAAAGCGGTTTATTCAGCGATTCCAAGTTAGCTGTTTTAGTCTCTCCGAAGCTACTTACCAGCTAATTCGTGCAAGCGACTCACCGCTCTTTCCATTCCGCGACATTCGTACACCAGTTTCACGAAATTATGTTCCGATGCAAACCCGTGATACGCTAGCTACATCCAGGCTTCGATCTTGTGACAGGATTCGGTGGCTGATTCAACTCGGCCTCACTAGCCGGTACGCGCGGGCTTATTCTACAACGCGAGCTACTCGTGCATCGCTGGCGTTTACCGCTTTCGCGGCAGCAGGCGGTCCGCGCTATCGGCGGCAGCAGGAAGCAACGGCTAGCCTTCGACTCCTGTCCGAGCTGCTGCTCACGCCGTGCTGCTGCTGCTGCTCACGGCGTGGGCGATTCTTTCAGGCATCGATTTCGCTCCCTCGCATTCCCTTCAAAACATTCGCAGTTCGCACATGCTGCTGCGACCGTCGAACCACTTCCGCGCCAGCCCGTCAGCAGCGTGATCGCAGTTTGGTCGCTCACGTCCCCGGACGCGTTTCGGCAACTCGTGGCTGTAGCACAATAACCGACATTGAGAGATATAAATTTTCGGCGAAATGACGAGGGCGGAGAAGGCGGGTGATTATAGCGAGCGGACGGGATCCGGAGCAGAGGCTTTGGCGGTTACCGGGGGGCGGGAGAATGGGGAAGAGGCGGGGGGATGGCGGAGGGAGACGGTGGAAGGGGGTGCGGAGAGCGGAGTGGAAATGCGGCTGGCGAGGGGGATGGATGGGGGAGCTTCTGTGATGGCTGTGGTGGGGGGAGGGGGAGACAGGGGGAGAGGAGAAGGGGATGGCACGGAGGGTCGAAGTCACTCAGAAACACACGAGGGTGGTAGAGAGGAGTGGGGAGAGAACGGAGGGCGGAATTTGGAAGTCAGTCGGGAGGAAGAGGATCACGTGAGTTTGTTACACTCGCGGACTCATAGCCCTTCCCATGCTCACACACGTAGTACCCACTCCATTCCCTCTCAAACTCCCCCTCACCCTCGACCATCTCCTCCTCCCAGTCCTCCACATCCCTCCTCACCCACCCACCTCTCCCCGACCTCCCGCCTCCTCTCCCTCCTCTCCTCGCCCCTCCACCCGCTCCTCTCGCTGGTGGCGTGGCTGCAAGGCCTAGTGGCGTCCTTCGGGCTGCCGTTTGTGTCGCTGGTGGCCGTGGTGTACGGCGTGAGCGAGGGGTACGCGGGCGCGCTCTACCATTTTGCTTCACAGTACTATTGGATGGACGTGCAGCGCCTGCAACCCGCTGCTGCTCAGGCTTACATGGTGGGTGTGCTGGGTCCATGTGTAGCGGTTTTTAGGGAGGGAGGAAAGGGGGGGGTGGGGGGGGAGGGAGGGGAAGGGAGAATGGTGTGGATGCACGTGAGAATGACTCCATGGTTGGTTGTGACAGGGAATGGCGGTGGCTGCCTTACGCCCTCATCTCCTCCCCCATAAACTCTCCCCCATCCCCTCCCCCCCCACACCCATCTTCCCCCCCTCTTCCCCTTTCTTTTCTCCCACATCCCGTAGGCAGTGGTGTCGGTGCCTTGGGACCTCCGCCCCCTGTATGGACTCATCTCTGACTCCTTCCCCATCCAAGGGTGAGATGGGCGCGGACAGGGAGGAATGGGGCGCGGGGTGTGAGGTGATGAGGTGTAAGGCTTGTAGGGAACCATGCTTCCAAAGCTCTTGTGTATTGAGGTGGAATGGGGCGTGGGGAGGGGCTAGGTTGCTGGGATGGGATGGGAGTGATGCATGCGCTCTTCGTTCTTGAGAAATAATGTGAGCGGGGCAGGTGCACTCTATGTTGCGATGTATCTGAGAAGCGCCCTATGTAAGTAAGGTGAGCCTTAAGTGCCCGGCACACCACCAGCATGAGTGCCCCTTGCTGTGGTCCTGGCACCAGCGACTCATAAACCGGCAGCACGGCAAGGACCAATTGAGGAGGGGAGATAGGGGCAGGTGAGACGGTGGGTGTGTCTATTGCCGCCTCATGTTGTGGGCCAATGCCCCGGTGTCATGCAACCATGCCCCACTACAATGCAACCATACCTCCCTGATATGCAACCATACCTCCCTGATATGCAACCATGCCCCCTTCCTATGCAACCATGCCCCCTTCCTATGCAACCATGCCCCCCTAGTACGCAACCATGGGCGCCCCTGTAGTACGCAACCATTCCCCCTAGTACGCAACCATGCCCCCCTAGTACGCAACCATGCCCCCCTAGTACGCAACCATGCCCCCTAGTACGCACCATGCCCCCTAGTACGCAACCATGCCCCCCTAGTACGCAACCATGCCCCAGTACGCAACCATGCCCCCTAGTACGCAACCATGCCCCCTAGTACGCAACCATGCCCCCCTAGTACGCAACCATGCCCCCCTAGTACGCAACCATGCCCCCCTAGTACGCAACCATGCCCCCCTGTACGCAACCATGCCCCCCTAGTACGCAACCATTGCCCCTAGTACGCAACCATGCCCCCTAGTACGCAACCATGCCCCAGTACGCAACCATGCCCCCTAGTACGCAACCATGCCCCCTAGTACGCAACCATGCCCCCCTAGTACGCAACCATGCCCCCCTAGTACGCAACCATGCCCCCTAGTACGCAACCATGCCCCCCTAGTACGCAACCATGCCCCCCCTAGTACGCACCAGCCCCCCTAGTACGCAACCATGCCCCCCTAGTACGCAACCATGCCCCCCTAGTACGCCCCATGCCCCCCTAGTACGCAACCATGCCCCCCTAGTACGCACCATGCCCCCCTAGTACGCAACCATGCCCCCCTAGTACGCAACCCATGCCCCCCTAGTACGCAACCATGCCCCTAGTACGCAACCATGCCCCCCTAGTACGCAACCATGCCCCCTAGTACGCAACCATGCCCCCTAGTACGCAACCATGCCCCCTAGTACGCAACCATGCCCCCTAGTACGCACCATGCCCCCCCTAGTACGCAACCATGCCCCCCTAGTACGCAACATGCCCCCTAGTACGCAACCATGCCCCCTAGTACGCAACCATGCCCCCCTAGTACGCAACCATGCCCCCTAGTACGCAACCCCCCCCAGTACGCAACCATGCCCCCCTAGTACGCAACCATGCCCCCCTAGTACGCAACCATGCCCCCCTAGTACGCAACCATTGCCCCCCTAGTACGCAACCATGCCCCCCTAGTACGCAACCTGCCCCCCTGTACGCAACATCCCCTAGCGCAACCATGCCCCCTAGTACGCAACCATGCCCCCCTAGTACGCAAACCATGCCCCCCTAGTACGCAACCATGCCCCCCTAGTACGCAACCATGCCCCCTAGTACGCAACCATGCCCCCCTAGTACGCAACCATGCCCCCCTAGTACGCAAACCATTGCCCCCCTGTACCAACCATGCCCCCTAGTACGCAACCATGCCCCCTAGTACGCAACCATGCCCCCTAGTACGCAACCATGCCCCCCTAGTACGCAAACCATGCCCCCTAGTACGCAACCATGCCCCCCTAGTACGCAACCATTGCCCCCTAGTACGCAACCATTGCCCCCCTAGTACGCAACCATGCCCCCCTAGTACGCAACCATGCCCCTAGTACGCAACCATGCCCCCCTAGTACGCAACCATGCCCCCCTAGTCGCAACCATGCCCCCCCCTAGTACGCAACCATGCCCCCTAGTACGCAACCATTGCCCCCTAGTACGCAACCCATGCCCCCCTAGTACGCAACCATGCCCCCCTAGTACGCAAACCATGCCCCCTAGTACGCAACCATGCCCCCCTAGTACGCAACCATGCCCCTAGTACGCAACCATGCCCCCCTAGTACGCAACCCATGCCCCCCCTAGTACGCAACCATGCCCCCCTAGTACGCAACCATGCCCCTAGTACGCAACCATGCCCCCCCCTAGTACGCAACCATTGCCCCCCTAGTACGCAACCCATGCCCCCCTAGTACGCAACCATGCCCCCCTAGTACGCAACCATGCCCCCTAGGTACGCAACCACCCCCTAGTACGCAACCATGCCCCCCTAGTACGCAACCATGCCCCCCCTAGTACGCAACCATTGCCCCCCCCTCCCTATACGCAACCATGCCCCCCTTGTACGCAAACCATGCCGCCCCCCCTAGTACGCAACCATGGCCCCCCTAGTACGCAACCATGCCAACCCCCTAGTACGCAACCATGGCCCCCCTAGTACGCAACCATGGCCCCCCCCTAGTACGAACCATGCCCCCTAGTAGCAACCATGCCCCCTAGTACGCAACCATGCCCCCTAGTACGCAACCATGCCCCCTAGTACGCAACCATGCCCCCCTAGTACGCAACCATGCCCCCCTAGTACGCAACCATGCCCCCCTAGTACGCAACCATGCCCCCCTAGTACGCAACCATGCCCCCCTAGTACGCAACCATGCCCCTAGTACGCAACCATGCCCCCTAGTACGCAACCATGCCCCCTAGTACGCAACCATGCCCCCTAGTACGCAACCATGCCCCCTAGTACGCAACCATGCCCCCTAGTACGCAACCATGCCCCCCTAGTACGCAACCATGCCCCCTAGTACGCAACCATGCCCCCCTAGTACGCAACCATGCCCCCTAGTACGCAACCATGCCCCCCTAGTACGCAACCATGCCCCCCTAGTACGCAACCATGCCCCCCTAGTACGCAACCATGCCCCCTAGTACGCAACCATGCCCCCCTAGTACGCAACCATGCCCCCTAGTACGCAACCATTGCCCCCCTAGTACGCAACCATGCCCCCCTAGTACGCAACCATGCCCCCCTAGTACGCAACCATGCCCCCTAGTACGCAACCATGCCCCCCTAGTACGCAACCATGCCCCCTAGTACGCAACCATGCCCCCCTAGTACGCAACCATGCCCCCTAGTACGCAACCATTGCCCCCTAGTACGCAACCATGCCCCCCTAGTACGCAACCATGCCCCCATAGTACGCAACCATGCCCCCCAGTACGCAACCATGCCCCCCTAGTACGCAACCATGCCCCCTATACGCAACCATGCCCCCCTAGTACGCAACCATGCCCCCCTAGTACGCAACCATGCCCCCCTAGTACGCAACCATGCCCCCCTAGTACGCAACCATGCCCCCTAGTACGCAACCATGCCCCCTAGTACGCAACCATGCCCCCCTAGTACGCAACATGCCCCCTAGTACGCAACCATGCCCCCTAGTACGCAACCATGCCCCCCTAGTACGCAACCATGCCCCCTAGTACGCAACCATGCCCCCCTAGTACGCAACCATGCCCCCCTAGTACGCAACCATGCCCCCTAGTACGCAACCATGCCCCCTAGTACGCAACCATGCCCCCTAGTACGCAACCATGCCCCCTAGTACGCACCATGCCCCCCAGTACGCAACCATGCCCCCCTAGTACGCAACCATGCCCCCTAGTACGCAACCATGCCCCCCTAGTACGCAACCATGCCCCCTAGTACGCAACCATGCCCCCTAGTACGCAACCATGCCCCCCTAGTACGCAACCATGCCCCCTAGTACGCAACCATGCCCCCCTAGTACGCAACCATGCCCCCCTAGTACGCAACCATGCCCCCTAGTACGCAACCATGCCCCCCTAGTACGCAACCATGCCCCCCTAGTACGCAACCATGCCCCCCTAGTACGCAACCATGCCCCCTAGTACGCAACCATGCCCCCTAGTACGCAACCATGCCCCCCTAGTACGCAACCATGCCCCCCTAGTACGCAACCATTGCCCCCCTAGTACGCAACCATGCCCCCCTAGTACGCAACCATGCCCCCTAGTACGCAACCATGCCCCCCTAGTACGCAACCATGCCCCCCTAGTACGCAACCATGCCCCCTAGTACGCAACCATGCCCCCTAGTACGCAACCATTGCCCCCTAGTACGCAACCATGCCCCCCTAGTACGCAACCATGCCCCCCTAGTACGCAACCATGCCCCCCTAGTACGCAACCATGCCCCCCTAGTACGCAACCATGCCCCCTAGTACGCAACCATGCCCCTAGTACGCAACCATGCCCCCTAGTACGCAACCATGCCCCCCTAGTACGCAACCATGCCCCCCTAGTACGCAACCATGCCCCCCTAGTACGCAACCATGCCCCCCTAGTACGCAACCATGCCCCCCTAGTACGCAACCATGCCCCCTAGTACGCAACCATGCCCCCCTAGTACGCAACCATGCCCCCTAGTACGCAACCATGCCCCCCTAGTACGCAACATGCCCCCTAGTACGCAACCATTGCCCCCTAGTACGCAACCATGCCCCCCTAGTACGCAACCATGCCCCCCTAGTACGCAACCATGCCCCCTAGTACGCAACCATGCCCCCTAGTACGCAACCATGCCCCCCTAGTACGCAACCATGCCCCCTAGTACGCAACCATGCCCCCTCTAGTACGCAACCATGCCCCCCTAGTACGCAACCATGCCCCCCTAGTACGCAACCATGCCCCCCTAGTACGCAACCATGCCCCCCTAGTACGCAACCATGCCCCCCTAGTACGCAACCATGCCCCCCTAGTACGCAACCATGCCCCCCTAGTACGCAACCATGCCCCCCTAGTACGCAACCATGCCCCCCTAGTACGCAACCATGCCCCCCTAGTACGCAACCATGCCCCCTAGTACGCAACCATGCCCCCCTAGTACGCAACCATGCCCCCCTAGTACGCAACCATGCCCCCCTAGTACGCAACCATGCCCCCCTAGTACGCAACCATGCCCCCCTAGTACGCAACCATGCCCCCCTAGTACGCAACCATGCCCCCCTAGTACGCAACCATGCCCCCTAGTACGCAACCATGCCCCCCTAGTACGCAACCATGCCCCCCTAGTACGCAACCATGCCCCCTAGTACGCAACCATGCCCCAGTACGCAACCATGCCCCCCTAGTACGCAACCATTGCCCCTAGTACGCAACCATGCCCCCCTAGTACGCAACCATGCCCCCCTAGTACGCAACCATGCCCCCTAGTACGCAACCATGCCCCCTAGTACGCAACCATGCCCCCCTAGTACGCAACCATGCCCCCCTAGTACGCAACCATGCCCCTAGTACGCAACCATGCCCCCCTAGTACGCAACCATGCCCCCCTAGTACGCAACCATGCCCCCCTAGTACTCAACCATGCCCCCCTAGTACGCAACCATGCCCCCCTAGTACGCACCATGCCCCCCTAGTACTCAACCATGCCCCCCTAGTACGCAACCATTGCCCCCCTAGTACGCAACCATGCCCCCCTAGTACGCAACCATGCCCCCCTAGTACGCAACCATGCCCCCCTAGTACGCAACCATGCCCCCTAGTACGCAACCATGCCCCCTAGTACGCAACCATGCCCCCAGTACGCAACCATGCCCCCCTAGTACGCAACCATGCCCCCCTAGTACGCAACCATGCCCCCCTAGTACGCAACCATGCCCCCCTAGTACGCAACCATGCCCCCTAGTACGCAACCATGCCCCCTAGTACGCAACCATGCCCCCTAGTACGCAACCATGCCCCCCTAGTACGCAACCATGCCCCTAGTACGCAACCATGCCCCCCTAGTACGCAACCATGCCCCCCTAGTACGCAACCATGCCCCCCTAGTACGCAACCATGCCCCCCTAGTACGCAACCATGCCCCCCTAGTACGCAACCATGCCCCCCTTACGCAACCATGCCCCCTATACGCACCATGCCCCCCTAGTACGCAACCATGCCCCCCTAGTACGCAACCATTGCCCCCTAGTACGCAACCATGCCCCCCTAGTACGCAACCATGCCCCCTAGTACGCAACCATGCCCCCCTAGTACGCAACCATGCCCCCCTAGTACGCAACCATTGCCCCCCTAGTACGCAACCATGCCCCGCCTAGTACCAAACCATGCCCCCCTAGTACGCAACCATGCCCCCCCTAGTACGCAACCATTGCCCCCCTAGTACGCAACCATGCCCCCCTAGTACGCAACCATGCCCCCCTAGTACGCAACCATGCCCCCCTAGTACGCAACCATGCCCCCCTAGTACGCAACCATGCCCCCCTAGTACGCAACCATTGCCCCCCTAGTACGCAACCATGCCCCCCTAGTACGCAACCATGCCCCCTAGTACGCACCATTGCCCCCCTAGTACGCAACCCATGCCCCCCTAGTACGCAACCATGCCCCCCTAGTACGCAACCCATTGCCCCCCTAGTACGCAACCATTGCCCCCCTAGTACGCAAACCATGCCCCCCTAGTACGCAACCATGCCCCCCCTAGTACGCAACATGCCCCCCTAGTACGCAACCATTGCCCCCCTAGTACGCAACCATTGCCCCCCTAGTACGCAACCATGCCCCCCTAGTACGCAACCATGCCCCCCTAGTACGCAACCATGCCCCCCTAGTACGCAACCATTGCCCCCCTAGTACGCAACCATTGCCCCCCTAGTACGCAACCATGCCCCCCTAGTACGCAACCATTGCCCCCCTAGTACGCAACCATGCCCCCCCTAGTACGCAACCATGCCCCCCTAGTACGCAACCATTGCCCCCCTAGTACGCAACCATGCCCCCCTAGTACGCAACCATGCCCCCCTAGTACGCAACCATGCCCCCCTAGTACGCAACCATGCCCCCCCCTAGTACGCAACCATGCCCCCCCTAGTACGCAACCATGCCCCCCTAGTACGCAACCATGCCCCCCTAGTACGCAACCATGCCCCCCTAGTACGCCAAACCCATTGCCCCCCTAGTACGCAACCATGCCCCCCCTAGTACGCAACCATGCCCCCCTAGTACGCAACCATGCCCCCCTAGTACGCAACCATTGCCCCCCTAGTACGCAACCATTGCCCCCCTAGTACGCAACCATTGCCCCCCTAGTACGCAACCATTGCCCCCCTAGTACGCAACCATGCCCCCCTAGTACGCAACCATTGCCCTCTACTATGCAACCACTCAGCAAGCCACTCTGAAACTTCTCAGGGCGGTGACAAACCACTCAAAAGTCACTGAGAGTGGTGGCAAACCACTGGAATACCACTCCCAGTGGTTGCAAACCACTGGAATACCACTCACAATGGTGGCAAACCACTGGAAAACCACTCAGTGTGGTGGAAAACCAGTGGAAAACCACTCCCAGTGGTCGTAAACCAATGGAAAAGCACTCAGGCCGGTGGCAAACCACTGGAATACCACTCCCAGTGGTCGCAGACCACTGGAATAACACTCCCAGTGGTCGCAGACCACTGGAATACCACTCCCAGTGGTCGTAGACCACTGGAATACCACTCCCAGTGGTCGCAGACCACTGGAATACCACTCCCAGTGGTTGCAGACCACTGGAATACCACTCCCAGTGGTCGCAGACCACTGGAATACCACTCCCAGTGGTCGCAGACCACTGGAATACCACTCCCAGTGGTTGCAGACCACTGGAATACCACTCCCAGTGGTCGCAGACCATTGGATTATCACTCACAGCGGTCGCAAACCACTGGAAAACCACTCAGGGCGGTGAGAGACCACTGGAAAGCAACTCAGAGTAGTGGAAAGCCACTGGTATTTCAGTCAACGTGGTGGCAAACCACTAGAATACCACATAGAGTGGTGGGAAACCACTAGTTTACCACTCAGATTGGTGGCAAACCACTGGAAACCATGTGTTGGCGATCTTGGGCGTTAGCCGATCTCGGGCGTTGGGCGATCTTGGGTGTTGGGCGATTTTGAGCGTTGGGCGACCTTGGGCGTTGGACGATCTTGGGTGTTGGGCGATCTTTCGCGTTGGGCGATCTTGGGCGGTGGGCGACCTTGGGCGTTGGGTGTTGGGGCGACCTTGGGCGTTGGGTGGTGGCAAACCACTGGGAAATCACTCCCTGACTTCCCTTCCCCCCTATGCATCCCCCCTATGCATCCCCCCTATGCATCCCCCCCTATGCATCCCCCCCTATGCATCCCCCCTATGCATCCCCCTCTATGCATCCCCGCATCACTTGTTTCGCCACCTCCAGCATGGTCATTCTCTCATGAGCCACCACGGCCGCATCTGCCACCATGGGGCAGGGAGAAGAGGCGCTATCTGGGTTTTGGGTCCCCCCATGCTGTGAATGCGCCCCTGTGCAACCGTCATTTGCCACCTCCTCTGCTGTCCTGCTTGCCTGCTGCAGCTGCCTGCTCATGGCAGACGGGGGAAGAGGGGGATGGGAACCGTCGGTTTGTGGGCTTCACAAGTTGCTTTGCCCCCCCTGCTGCTCGTTGCAGGAACTTCCTTACAGCAGCCCTTGCGTCCTTCCTTACAGCAGCCCGTCCTTCCTTCCTAAACCACCTCTTGTGCTGTCACACCTGCGTGCTGCAGCTGCCTGCGCAGGGTGGGCCATGGCAGGGAAGGACATGGGGCAACGAGAGGGGGTTTGGAGAGGACGAGGAAGCTCTAAGTCCTCCCTGACCACGCCCATTATGGCAAATGGTTATGGGGCACCACCAGCGGGAGTGCGCCCTTCCCATCCCCCTCATTCCCGCTCTTTCCCCTCTCTCCCCCCTTCACCGCGTTTTCCCTCCCTCCCAGCTACCGCCAGCGCCCCTACCTGTTCCTCTCGGCCCTCCTGGGTCTGCTCTGCAGTCTCCTAGTCGCCCTGCTTCCCGCCCTCCCCCCCGTCCTCGCCTCCCTCCTCCTCGCTGGCACCACCCTATCCACCGCCTTCGCTGACGTGGTAGTAGACGGCTTAGTGGCAGGCAAGATCCGAGCCCAGCCGCAACACGCAGGCGACCTGCAAGCCTTGCCCTGGGGCATCCTCGCCCTCTCGTCCCTCGTCGCCTTCGCCATGAGCGGACCCATCGTCTCCACCTTCGGCCCAAGAGGGGCGTTCTTCTTCTACGCGTTGGCGCCTCTGGCTCTGCTGCTGACGGTGCTGTTTGTGCCGGAAGCACCGGTCCCGGCACGGAAGATGGGGGAGTCTGGGTGGGTGAGCCTGCGGCGATCGTGCCGCCTGTTCGCCCGCACTCTGAGGAACAAAGTCATGTGGCGTGCGGCTATCTTCCTCTTCATGTCTCATGTGAGAGAGGGGTGTGTTGGGGGGGGGTGAAACGTGAGAGGGGGGACTGTGCGTGAGGGAGGGGTCATCCCAAATCCCTTGCTACATGTTCAAAATCGACCCCTCGATTTTGAATTTTATTCTTGTTGACCTTCTCTTGCATTCCCTCCGCCCCTGCATCCCTTGCATTGTCCCCGGCATTCGCTTTCAGCCCGTCCTCGCCCCTGCACCCGCCATGCAGGGCGGTGTGTCCCACAGCACCCCCACGGCGCTGGTGTATTGGTACACCAAGTGGGAGGGGGGTCCTAGGTTCAGCAAGGGCTATGCTGTCCGCGGTCCGCGCAATGCTGAGATAAACTCATACATGCCCCTTCCATCCTGCATGCAGGGCGACATGTCCCTCGACATTCTCATTTACTGGTACATTGCGACATCCGCAATTTGTACAAGTAAACTCAATCCCTTGTGCAGAGCGGTGTGATTCCCGCTAAGCCGCTGACCTGCTAACCTGCTGACCTGCTCACCCGCTGACCTGCTAACCCGCTGACCCGCTGACCCGCTGACCGGCTCACCCGCTAACCCACTGACCTTGGGAAGTGAGACCTTGGGAAGTGAGACCTTGGGAAGTGAGACCTTGGGAAGTGAGACCTTGGGAAGTGAGACCTTGGGAAGTGAGACCTTGGGAAGTGAGACCTTGGGAAGTGAGACCTTGGAGAGGTAGACAGTAGACGCTCGACGGAAGACGGTAGGGTGGCGTGTCTCCAACACCTCGACGGCCTTGGTCTACTGGCAGACCAAGGCGGAGGGGGGTCCACGCTGTGCTGGAATGTACTTCTCTTCGCCCCTTCCATCTCCCGTGCAGGGCGGTGTGTCCCCTGACATCCCCATGGTGCGAGTGTACTAATACACCAACTCGGAGAGGGGTCTGTGCTGTTCTGAGATCGACTCAAATCACGGCCCGTACATCCCCCGTGCAGGGCGGCGTCTCTCCCGACATCCCCACAGCGCTGGTGTACTGGTACACCAAAGCGGAGGGGGGTCCACAGTTCAGCAAGGGCTTCATGGGGGTGGTGTTCGCTATGGGGCGCGTGGGGCTGCTCATAGGCGTCTTCGTCTACCACCGCTGCTTCAAAGCCGCCTCCTACCGCTCGCTGCTGCTCTTCACCCTGGTACCCACCCATGAGGGATTTGTGATGAGGGAAATGCCGGTCACTTGCAATCTAGCTTCTGTGCTGACTGTGTCGCAATCTTGCTGCTCTTCTCTGCATTCTGCCTTTCCCTTCCTTGGCCCTCTCACTGTATTCCTCCCCGAGCCAACTGCACTCATCCCTCACTTCCTCACATCCTCCCCCCCCACCCTTGCACCTCCCCCCCCATGCCCCCAGCTGCTCCTCTTCGCCACTGGCTTCCTCGACCTCATTATAATCACTCGCATCAACATCACACTGGGAATTCCTGACCACGCGTTTGTCCTGGGCGACACAGCCATCTCAGACGCAGTGCGCAGGCTGGAGCTCATGCCCATTCTCGTGCTTGCAGCCCGCCTCTGCCCGCCTGGCATCGAAGCCACCCTATTTGCGTTTTGCATGTCTCTGATGGTGTTCGGGAAGCACTGCGGCGAGTGGCAAGGGGCCCTCATGCTGCATCTGCTCGGAGTGAGGAAGGATAGTTACGAGCGCCTCTGGCTGGCCGTGGTGCTTCGAAATCTGTTCCGGCTGCTGCCGATTGCTGGGCTGTGGTTGTTGCCAGAGGGTGGGCCGGATACGGATTTGCTGGGTGAAGCTGGGGTTGAGGTGGAAGGGTTGGAGGAGGAGAGTGAGAGGGAGCTGATGGTTGTGCAGGGGGGGAGAGGGGATGAAGATGGACGGGAGAGGGATGGTGGGATGGGAGTGACAAGTTTGCAGCCGGATGCTGAGACGGATGAGGGAATGACGATGAGTCGTGCTGGTAAGGAGATGGGGGGAGAGAGGGCTACGGGTTTGGAAGTTCTGAGTCCCAAGGAGAGAGAGCTGGTGAGTTTGTAAAACGGGGTGATGCTAAGGCCTTTTTTTACTCGAGAGGAATTTGCTTCACAATGGAGTTGGACCTTTAGTTAATCTCTATTCGCTGATTTACTAACTCGTGTAATCTATCTGTATGATGACTACACTTTCTCAATAAGTAATTTGGAAAGCAACGAGAGCCATGTTTCGTGCATCATCTGCACCGTCGATTCTTCACAGCCTTCGTCGAGATGTGGAAGGCGATGATGCCATGTCAGCGGCGCCCAACACCCTGCAATCCTCCAGCTCTTCGTTCGCACTTTGCGCCTGAGTGTCGGTTGTTGGGTGGGGCTGGCGGTCAGTCAAGCATGTTGGCCCGGGCACGTGCAACCCAACCGCGTCGCGTTGCGGGAGGGGCGCGCAATGTCGGCATTTCGATTTCCGCCCATCGAATTGCCGACGCGGCATCGCCCCTCTTCCCAACCCCCAGCGGGAGCTCCCTTTTGGGCTGCTTCACCTGCTGCTGTGGTGTTTCGCCCTCGCTCGCCCCCAACCCAAGGTGTGTCAATTTGCGCCCATCCCCCATGCGACTGGGTACTGCTACTTGGAGCGAACACTCCATCCATGGCATTTCGCCTGATGCGGAGACGACAGCTTGGAACGGTACGCAACGCAACGCACACCTCGGTTGGGTGCACATTGACGCATCATGCTCTAGATGTGCCGCCATGCCATGCTGCCATGCTAGTCCAGACTTCGGGTAAACAAGGAGCATTCCGCAATAATGGAGGACTAGCACACGCTAAGCGTCCATAGTAGGTCCTAATACCTCTCCTTACTAGGTAGCGAGAATTACTCGCTCGCTCCTAATCGTCCATAATGCTTCGCGCTTAGAAGCGGGTGACGGCGAAGGAGAGCGTCAAGAATAAAACGCCGCCACGGCTCGCGATCCTTAGAGATTAGACCGCCGCAAGTGGCGTTGGAGATTAGGCCTTGGACCTGCAGAGCCACTCCAGCGAGTGAGCGAGTGAATCGCAACACCGTTAGTCTCGAGAGAGAAGACCCGCGAAGTGCATGATTAGAGATTGTAGCCCGAGCTGGTGTCTCTCGGCACCACTTTCAAAACTCGTATCTATGGGCGATCGAGAGAGGAGACGCGCGGGGTTCATCCCGGCCCGTTTCGTCGCGGTGCTGCTCCTCGCTGCCGCCGCAGCCGGCGCTCTGCGCCCCGCGGAGGCGGTTCCGCCGGGCATGCCGCGGAAGCCCGCACACATCGTGCGGGTGCTGCTGCGACAGAACCGGTTCGGCGCGCGATGCCTCGACGGCAGGTAGGAATGCCGATATAAAGCTGGTTTCCTCGATGCGTGTCCCTATCCAGGTTTCAAAGACTAAGTTACATCTGCACATGCTTTAGACAGGTGAAGGTTGACGTTCGAAGAGAGGCGAGCCGTAACCTCACTAGACACCGCCCCTATGCTTTCCTCCGCCCTCCTACTCCCTTCCCCTTCCCCCTGTCACCCCCCTCCGCGCAATCAGTCCGCCGGGGTACTACATCCGCCGCGGGTACGGCGAGGGGAGGCGGCGGTGGATAGTGTACCTGCAGGGCGGCGGGTGGTGCCACAACATGGCGCAGTGCGCGCAGCGGGCCAGCACCGTGCTCGGATCGTCCAAGTTCTGGCGCGCGCCGTCCGACCCCGGCTTCCAGGCGTCGGTGAGACCATGCGCTAGTCTTCATGCTACGAACGCCTCCCCCCCGAATTCACCATCCAGGACTCTTTCCAAAATCGATTCCAAGTTCTGCTGAGCGCCGTCTGACCCCGCCTTCCAGGCGTCGGTGAGAAGTCATTTCTATCCGGTTACCGACTGTTCTCACCGGGGATTCCAGCCCTCGGTAAGCGCATGCGTCAGTTGTTTGACGCCTAGAGAAGTTAGGCGTGCCCTCCGACCCCGGTTTCCAGCCCTCGGTGAGCGCATGTGCCGCATGCTGAGGCACCCAAAACGGTGGGTTCCAGATCTCAATATTGTTTGCACCACCCGTTGCTTTTTCTCTCGGCCCCTCTCCCGCCCCTTTCTCCCCCCCCCCCCCCTCTCACATAGAGAGTTACGCATCATGTTCACTTGCATTCTGGATTTGAGGCGTCTCAACAATTTTTGAGGCGTCTCAACAATTTCCCTCCCACCCATCCACCCACCCCCTCTCTCCCCTCCCCCCCCACCAGCTTGAGAAGTACGGCAGCACGTTCACGGGCATTCTGAGTCGCAACGCGAGCGAGAATCCGTCGTACCACAACTGGCACGTCGTCACCGTCTTCTACTGCGACGGCGGCGGCTTCTCGGGCACTGCCGGCGCTGTACGCGTTAATAGCTCCTTCTCGCTGCACTTCGACGGCGCGAGGATCCTCGACGCTGTGCTTGACGGTGAGTGGGCGGGTGAGGGCGGAGAGCGGATAGTGTGGGTGGGGAAAGGGCGGGAAGAGGTGAAGGGTGGCAAGGGATAAGCTGACTTCTGCTACAGGCCTGCAACGAACTGCATAGCACACTCAAGCAACGAGTAACGGCACTGCGTGTTACCAACTCGGGTGTGCTCCGGGTCTCGCTAAGTCGATTCGGCTCTAAGCTCATTCCCACCTCTCTTCATTCCGCCCCTCTCTTCCTTTCCCCCTCTCCCCTCCCTCCGCTCCCTCCCCTCCCTCCCCTCCCTCCCCTACCTCCCCTCCCCCCCTCCAGACCTGAAGCTGCAGTGGGCCATGCTCACAGCCAGGCACGTGCTGTTCACAGGGTGCCGGCCAGGCGTATGCTTTTGAGGCGCCTCAGGAGCAAGAACCCATGCCCATCTCTCTCTCCTTTCCTTCCTCGCCCCTCCCTCTCTCCCCTTCCCTCCCTCTCTCCCCCTACCCCCTCCGTCCTCCCCCTTCCCCCTCCGTCCTCCCCTTCCCCCCCAACCCCCACTCCCCCCCCAGACCTGAAGCTGCGGTGGGGCATGCGCACAGCCAGGCGCGTGCTGTTCACAGGGTGCTCGGCGGGCGGCCAGGCGGTGTCAAATGCGTGTGACATCGTGGCGGACCAGCTGCCGTGGGCCGACGTCAAGTGCCTCATGGACGGGGGGTTCTTCCTGGGTGAGCCGGGAACGTGGGGGTCGTGCCTCATGGGTGGTTGCATCGTGAACCCATCGCACCAGCAATGGGCACTGGCGTTGGTCTATCCGTGCAGGGTCTGGCGCCGCATGCCCCGTGTCAAGTGCCGCATAGGTGAAGGTTTCTTCCTCGGTGAGTCGGGAGTGTGCACCGGTGGGGTGGGGGACAGTTGAGTGGGGAGTGGGGAGTGTGCACCGGTGGGGTGGGATCCAGTGCGCCCACATTGGGGGCACTGGTCTCATTGTTGCTTGCTGTCTCTGCCCCTTGTTTCCTTGTCCATTTAGTGATATGGGCGGTTGCGTGAGGAGCCTATTTTTGAGGCGCTTCAAAAATTGTTTCCTTGTCCATTTAGTGGTATGGGCGGTTGCGTGCTGGCCCCCCTGTGCCATGCTTTTTCCCCTTCGGCTTTTTCCTTTCAGATGGCTCTGACGTCACGGGGCAGATGTACTTCCGCACCCTGGCCAAGCGGATGACGGAGCTGCATCACTCTATAATGGATCCCGACTGCAAGAACGGTGAGAGCCAATAGCTGGAATGTGATGGGCCGAAGCAGTCGATATGAGTCATGCTTGCACCTCATCATGCGCCCTTCCCTATTCCTCTACCCCATGTCGACTCATTTCTCTACTCTCTTTCCTCTCATCCTTTTCCTGCATCACCTTCCCACCAGCCAACCCTAGAAGCCCCTGGCGGTGTTTCTTTCCTCAGTTCAACCTCTTCTATATCTCCAGACCACTCTTTATAGTCAACTCCGTGGCAGACTATGCTGCGATTGAAATCGCTAATCGCGGGCAGAACCAATCCTCCACTACAAACATCTTCAGCTGCCTCGATAAGGTGTATGACTCAGAGCCCACGATTCCTGCTGACCTTACAAGAGCGAAGTCAAGGTGTACTCCTCAGGAATTGGCCGCCATTCAAGTGTATTCGAAGCGGGTGCTTACACGCATAAATGCCGTGTTGCGGCAAAGGAAGCAGTTTGGTTCGTTCATCATGGGGTCGTTGGCACATTGCACAACGATATACCCCTCATGGTCCCTGATAAGGCGGAAAAAGGAGTATCTTAGAGATGCTATTGACCAGTGGTACATGCAATACTAACTAGTACCACACGGTGGGTGCTTGTAGGAAGATCCACTGCAAGAGAACAAACGTGTACTTAGTGATTGGTTAAACGCCCATGGTGTTCAGAAATGCACTCATGTAAGACAAACTCTAGCGACTTTGTTTATGTAGAATGTTATAGTGAGGATAAAATATCGACTAAATAACGCAGCTTACCTAGTTATTCTGTCGTTACAGTTTGTCAACTTGTCATCGCGGTGCGTGTAACGAGTACGGGTTTCGGTTCCCACCCATCGCATATGATCCCAGCACCAGCAAAAGAATCAGTGCCTAGACAGACGACCGCAGGTGGATCTGGGTTCAGGGACATGCTAGGATGAGCGCGTACTGTGAATCAGGGCGCAGCTCTCGCGTGCCACGTCAATCCTGGGACCACCTTAGAGCCGCCGCGGCCATGCAGGGGAGGCGCCACGCCATAGACAAGGAACTTCCTCTCGGCAGAGGGGTCCAGGCAGGCAGTCCCTGCCACGGTCTGGTAGCGAGGAATCTATCTACGGCCCTCTGGTGGTCGAGAGACCCATTTGTCAAAAAAAGGCCCGATGGCATTCTCGTTCACTCACGGCCGTTGGATCCGATTTCACGTGGTGGAGAGGGACTGCTGAGGCTCGCGAGTCCCAGGTCGCCTTGCTCGCTTGGTACACAAGTGAGAGCTGCCACATCTTCATCTTGGTGGGATGAGCAGCATTATGCGAATGACCTTACATGGTAGCGGTCTCTCGCCCAACAAACTCATCTCGCTCACGCGGCTCTCCCGTTTGTGAAGCTCGTCTGAAGCTGTCGAGGGTGAGGCGGAGTCTGGCATCTCAGTCCCACCAGCGGCTGTGGGTCGCAGATCGCAGGACTGCCAAGACAAAGCCTTTGCTAGGTTGCGAGCTCGACGACCTGCGAGCTGCGCTGCAGAACGGGCTTCGAGCGATATCTAGAGGCGGCCTTGCGTCGGTCCAGAGACGAGCTCGGATCCGTAATCCGAAGGCGGACGTACGAAGGCGTACTGTGGCATCTTTCGCCGCTGTCGCTTGGCATTGCTTTGAAGGTTACCATTAGCCCGGAAATCTTTCCAAGTTCCGTCTTTTCTGTTCCTTACCTTTTGCCCGTGCTCCATGCGTCCTTGCGTCACCGTCATTGTGTTCGAGCTGAATCGAGCCAGCCATGGTATCCAGGACCTCGACTTCAACCCTCACGGTCCTTCTGCCGCCCTTCATTTGCCGCTGTTCCAGCCTTTGGAATGGCGACGGGACCAAAGTTCCGCGGAGTAAATGCGATTGGATCCAATTGGCGGGCCTCCGTAAGCAGAGCTGGGAGAAAAATTTATCTTGGGGCTAGAAGTACTCCGGAGGAGGCGGCCAGACTGCACGACAGGTGAGGGTTTGTCTGTTGTTCACTGTGCAGCGTCACGTGTATGTCAGCTGCTGATGAGACGAGACGGCGCCTGGCGGCGCTTTGTGTCACGGTCTTCGTCCACACGTCCAGGCTTATGGAAGCTCCATCATGGGCCGACATCAACCAGGCCTCCAATTTAGCCACTGCGTTCTCTCCGTGTGCCTTCAGGGCGGCGTACAAGCTCAAGGGCCCCGATGCGGAGCTCAATTTCGGCCTCTCGGAGGACGAGAAGGCGGACCTCGACGGCAAGTCGGAGCTGCAGTTCATGGCGTCCGTTGCGCGAGAGAACCTCCTGCTCAAGATGGGCCGCGGGTCGTCTCGATTCATGGGCGTAAATTGGCAGAAAAAAAGTCAGAAATGGGTTGCCACACTGTACGGAGGTCAGGGACAAATGCACGTTGGCTTTTTCTCCACCGAGGAGGAGGCGGCCCATGCACACGACGCCGCGTTGATCGAGAGGGATGGGCCCAACGCCATGACCAACGCCAAGATCTTCAGCGGCGATTTCAGCGGCCTGCCTCCTGTGGGACGCGGCACTCAGCTGGCTCGTGGCGGGGGCAGCGGTGGAGCAGCGGTGGAGGGTAGCGGCGAGGGGGCGCGTGGGGAGGGGACGGCGCGTGGTGGAAGGGGCGGATCAGCAAGAAGACGACGAAAATCAGGTAAGGCAATAATGGACGATTTGGGTATTGATGTGTTGAGGGCTTTGGGGGCCTCGACATGCAAAGTCCGCACACTTCTCTAAGTGCTCAGAGACGCTTTATTGACTCGCAATCTACTCTTCCTTGAATCTTGCATCAGTCCAATTGCTACGCTTGCAGCTTGCTTCTCCAGCCAGCACGAGGCTGGTATGCCCACCATGCACGTGGGTGCAAGGTTCCTGCTGCCTGCTCATATGATGGTCGTGGCTCATGTATCGGTCCTGTTGTTTGCCTCCAGATGCAGACGAGGGGACGACATCTGAAGAGGAGGATGAGACAGACGAGGAGACGGACGAGGAAGAGGAGTATTATGATGAGGATGAGGAGGAGGAGGGGGGAGGAGAAGAAGAAGAGGAGGAAGAGGAGGAGGAAGATGAAGAGGAGGGGGAGGAGGCAGAGGAGAGGGGAAGTGGTGAGGGTGAGGGGGAGGGGTGCGGGCATGCTGACGTGGGAATTGACGAATCTGGTGGCACTCGCATCCCCACGCCTTGGGGTCTGGTTGACCCTGACTGCATGCCTGGCTGGATGATCGCTGCTCTTGAGGACTATGAGGAGGGACAGCAGCAGCAGGAGGAGGAGGAGGAGGAGGAGGAGGAGGAGGAGGAGGAGGAGGAGGAGGAGGAGGAGGAGGAGGAGGAGGAGGAGGAGGAGGAGGAGGAGGAGGAGGAGGAGGAGGAGGGGGAGGAAGAAGACGAGGAAGAGGAGGAGGAAGGAGGGGAGGGAGGAGAAGCGGGAGGCGCAGAGGGCGAGGGGGCAAGTCAGTCAACCGTCACTCGTGCCAAGAAGGCCAAGGCAGTGAAGCGCCAAGGCAGCAAGAACCCGTTCTTCTCCTTCCCCTCCCCGCCCATCCGCACCTTCGACGACCCCGGGTACCAGCAGCGCGCAGCAGCACGCAAGGCTAAAACAGCCCAGTTCGCATTGGAGCGCCTGGTGTTCTCCCTAGGCATGATGGCGGAGTTGGGCCTCATAAAGCCTCTTACCATGAGCAAGGAAGAGCTGCTGGCGAATTGGGGAGTGGGCCAGGCTGAAGTGGACGCCTGGGATGAGGAGATGGGGCGGACGCCGAAGGGCGGAGGCGGAGGGGGGAGCCGTGGGGGGGAGGAGGGAACGGGGGGTGTGGGAGGGAGTGGTGGTGCTGTGGGGGAGGGCGGAGGAGTGGGAGGTGGTGATGACGACGTGGGTGCAGCAGGGGAGACGGGTACTGCTGGCAAGCGCAAGTTTGCAACTGCCGGTATTGCGGCTGGGGAGGACAACAGGCCCACGCTGAAGAAATTCCGGGACCGTGTGAAAGAGATGGTTGACTTGGAGTGGAACGACCCCACTGCCTTCGCCAACGGACGCAACTACGCTGATGCCATCAGGGACAACGAGCGGTGGGGCTATACCCCTCGCAACACTGGGTTCCGCATTGGCCGGTGCCTCGACCCGTTTGCTCCTCCGAGGCCCGGGCAGATTCTTCCGGACCACCTGCGAACGGACCTGACCATGGCTGATCTGCGGCGCGGGCGGGAGAAGCTGTTTGGGCTGCCGGGGTTTGACTGGACTGCTTTCTGTGAGGAGTATGATGAGGAGGAGAGGATCACGGCTGAGTTGATGAGGGCTGAGAGGCAGGAGGTTGCGAGGCGCAAGGCAGAGAGCAAGAGGGGTGTGCAGGGTGGGAAAGGAGGGGGTGTGGGGGAGGGGGAAGAGGAGGGGGGGGAGGGGGACGACAAGGTGGGTGTGGGGCAGGAGCCTGACTGGGCGGCGCTGAGTGCGAGGGCGGAAGCAGTGATGACGAGGGTGCAGGAGGCGGAGAAGAGGATGGGCGGTAGTGATGATGGGAGGGGCGGGGGTAGTGGTGGTGCTGGTGGGTTGGAGGGTCTTGGTGGGGAGTGATGGGTGGGTGGGTTGGGTGGTTATGGCGGACAGCGCCTTCCTTCCTTTTTGGTAGTTCTTTGATCTGGGACAGAGCAAGCATGTTTGTTTCCCATCCCAATCCCCCCCTTCCCCTTGTACATAGATAATTTTCTTTGCCCAATTTGATGTTTTTTGTCAATGAATTGTGTGTTGAACCTGGGACACACTAGCCATGTGATGTCATAGTTGTACTGCCGGTATGCATCAGATCAGATCAGACACACCAACAAGAGCCAGAAAATAATCTCATCATCTGTGTCAATTAGAACATCAGGATTCAGGAACACATAAGAAACGTCCAGCGTCACTCAAGGCGGAGCCAGATGGCCACGTGTGACAGTACCTAGGTATAACACAACTTTCATCCTACAGCTCTAACCTGTGGCAGTGCAGCCATGTCATGTCATGTCAGCATGCTTATTTCCCCCTCCCCAGAACCAGGCGGAGCTTCCTCACGGGAAGAGCACCAGGGAGGACGACATACTCCTACAGAGAACCTCCTCCCTTTGCTCATTCTGCCTCCGCGCTGAGGATCCGGAAACCCTGGGGAAAGTGGGATGGTGAGACGCTATCAGCCGATTCCTCATCACTTGACTGCGGGGACTTGGGGGGTTGCAGAGACTGCAGGGGCTGCAGGAACTGCAGGGGCTGCAGGGACTGCAGGGACTGTACGGGCAGGGAGTAAGCTCTGACGGAATGGCAGCGGCGGAACCGCCGGCGATGGCGGGAAAGGTTTTGATTGGGAGACATGGGTTCTCCTTGAGTGAAGCTGTGATGGTGGCGCGTCGAAATGTCCGATTGGGCGGGGAAAGAGCGGCAGAGGCAGGAGGGCGGAAACGCCTTCGCGTGCGTTTGATCAGTGCAAGAATCGGCAGCAGCTGCTGTTGCCGCTACTGCTGCTGCCGCAGCATCGCCATCGCGGGATGTAGGAACCAGAGGGGCAGTACTCCGTGTGGGACTACTAGAGCCATCAGGATGACACAGTCCGATTTCGCAGCTCTGCGTCTTGGGTAGTAGTAACGCCGCCGCATTGCGGCCCGTGCTGCCGAAAACCAGCCCGGCTCGCCCCAAGTCCGACTCCGATCGCGTGCTGCACAGGCCACGCCGGTGGCAACGCGGCGAGCTCCCGCGTCCATCGCTCCAATCGCGATTTTTTGGACGCGGGAAGCCCGACTCGGGGAGCTCACGCCGAGCAGCACGACGCACCGAGTCTATACCACCCGATGTTAATTCCACATGATGCTGGTGATGAAGATCGGTGGCGACGGTAGCGCGTAGCAGGTCCATGAAGTGGCGGCATCGCACGGCGCTGAGCTGGCGCTGCGTGGCGAGCCACTGCAGCTTGCTCTCCAATATGCGCGTCTCTATGTCCTCCAGCCGCTGCCGCACCTGCTTCCCGGGGGAGTCGTCCAGTGCCGCTGGAAGGCTGGCGATAGCAGGGTGATCTGGAGGGAACATCGTGGGAGGGGTACTGGTAGTATGTTGTGCGACGCATTGAACGGGGTGGTTCTTAGAAGTATCGGCCACTTCGAAGTCTGTCATCTCTCGTGTGATCGACGGAACTGGCAGTCCCTGTGCGGCAGGAATGCTGAGCTGCCGCATTGGTAGCGTCCAACGTGGTTTTTCTGACCACTATGACCGATGTTTGTGCCGTAATCAGCAGCAATCAGAAGCAATCAGCGGATGCATGAGAGCAGCCGCTGCTTAGAGATTGAGCCGCAAGGTTGAGGTTCTACGGCAGCAATTTTAGAAGCGCGTCACGGCAACTCGGCTGCCGTGCGTGCGGCAGGCAGAACATCTCATCCCACATTAGCGCTGCAACTCGGTTGCCTCTCGTCCAACTTTCGGATGGAAGGAGGCGTGGCATGGCGTGGTGCGTTGTTTTGTGTGACTCAAAAAGCTCAAAAGCCGCCGAGTGCGGCAGCATTTGGTGTGGTGGGGGAAGGTCAAAAGGCGAGGACGAGCAGCAGGCGGAAAATGACAGTGAAGCAAGCCGAGCAGGCCAAAACAGCAAGCAGGCGGTCGGTGGTGAAATTTGAATGGACGGGAGCCGCAGCGCGCGAGGAGGAATCGAGGGCACGACTGAGGTCCATTTTACGATGCATTGCACAGGTATAATTTCACTGTATAGATGTTCCGCAGTTGAATATAATTACATCACAACATTCATTTCATCCGTGCATAAATCACATTCGTACTCTTTTGAACATTCCAGAAACTCGAAGCCATCACCAGAGCACCTCCCTCTGTTCCCTGACGACATAGCTATTAGGGAGTAACCCGCTATTTTTCTTTCCAATACGGTGGCCAATCAGAACTGCAGAGGGAAGTCCACCATGGGTGGCTGGCTGCCTGAAAGCACAGTCGCAATGTTACACTGCAAGAATACTAGGTTCCATGACCATTTCATATGAGCAAAGACAAATAAACCGCTCACAAGGCTACCCGCCTGTTGCTGTGGGGTTGATGACATGGTTATGCAAGAACAGCCTCTGCACGCATTGATGCATTCCATTCTACAGCATCAATGAAGTACAACGGAATGTTGCAGGCGATTATAGTCGTCGAGGAATGTACATGGAAAAATGTTATCATGCTTGAGAGTTATGGGAAGGAAACGCGGCTTTGCGTGTCTAGACTCTAGATCAGCTTTCCTACTACAGGGTACTTCCTTGCGAATGTCTCCACCCAGTCGTCGAGCGTCTTGAGCTGTTTCTCAGTCAGGCCATCAAGTGACCCCCCGACGTCCCCCATGCTCATCGTGGCGAGCGGCCTGCTCGCGTCTTTGCCTGCGAAGATCGCGTACGGACCATCTGGGCCGTAGAACGAGCTTGCTGACGTCACGTCGTAGATGACACCTTTGAGGGCCACGAGGATGGGTTTCGACGGATCTGAGCCGTTGTACTCCGCTAGCTTGTCAGCGGTGACCTCGCCGAGCTGAAGGGTCGACTGGGGCTTCGCATCAGCCATTGTTCGCTGGAAGACAAGCAATGCACCTAAGATCAGCGAGGCGAGTCGTTCTTGAAAGCCTGGAAAATGGAGGATTGGAAGGAATGCTGTGGCTGTGGGAAACAATGGTGTGACAACAAGTCACGGGTCGCTTGTGCCTCGAAATGAAAGCAGGTGCAACGGAGACTCTCCTCTCCTCAGCTCGCCAAACAGCCATTGAGGATCCTTGGTCTGGCTGCCAATAGCCGTGGCGCTGGCGGAGTCAGGTCGGGAGGAACTGAACTGAACAAAACTGAACGGCAAGATCTGAATCTCCAATTGTCGAGGAGCATACTGACGCATAGCCAATGAGGGGGCAGGCTGCTGGACAAGTGAACTCTATATGACCACGAATTCATCCACGTTTCCAAAGCTTCCGCTTTGGTCGAATCAGCGACGGCTCGATGGTTTCAGGGGCCTCTGTCTATAACGCGGAACCACTCATTGTCACACCCAGTATTTCCCATATGTTACCACCTTCCAGAAAGTAAATCAGACTTACCGGTACAATCTGCACTCAAACTATCTGAATTTGGAAACAAACCACACTTCCGCAACCTATTTTGAAACTTGGGGATTTGCCTGCTAAAGAGGGCAGACTTGAGGTATTGCAGTCCAGATTCTGGCCCGTACACAAATGATGTGCACCTGCAACTGATTTGATCATTTGCGGTCCACTCTCACTTGCAATATGAGATGCACTGGACCGCCAAGGATATTCTGGAGCTGATAACGAGCCTCTCTACCAATGGATCTGGGTAAACCACAAAATCAGGGGAACGGAATAATGCTGAAGAAAGGGAGCAAGAGCATCGTAAACCGATTTTGAAAAGAAATGCTGGCGAATCGAGGACTGCAAGCTAGGAACGTGGCAAGAGGCAAGACTCAAGAGAACCAGACTGCAAGCGACGCTGGACTCACGGCATACACTGCTACAACGCACCTTACGACCTGCCCTGCCTTGCCGACAAGCATGGCCCTCTGTGCATTTGACTGCACGAGCAGCAGCTGCTCTATGCGCAGCGACCCGTCCCTCAGCACTGTGCACGACACGTGCCGGTGGTCTATGGCATACGGCACCTCCTGCGGGTGGCGGATGGGGGATGGGGATGGGGGATGTGGGGTGCAGGGAGGAGGCAGGAAATGGAAGGAGCTGGAAGATTGAAAGGAGATGAAGGTGAGGGAACTGATTAAAGGGGGGTTGAAAGAGAAAAGGGGGTCACAGATGGAAGAAGCAAACAGGTGAAACAGCACAGCAAGTTGAACAAGAAGCAGAGAAGCAACAAGGGGGAGCGGAGAGATCTGGCATGACCAATCTCATCTCTCTCATTCTGACAGAACAGACTCTGTGTGCGAGTGGAGATTAGATTCCAGCCATTGGGCAGCAGCACATCCCTCCTGTGATCATTCCTGCGACGAGTATCCCTGCTATGAGCGTTGCAAGAGACTGCCATCACACACTCCTTACACACTCCCGTCAGCCGCCCCACTCCCCCTCTCCATCCGCAGGAAGGCGATTCAACAACCACCCACCTGGAGCCAGTGAGGCGACTCAGAAGCAGCTCACCACACACGGCCTTCAGGGCGTGCTCCGTCTATTCAGGCATAACCACACAAACAACTCACCCCTTGTTCAATCGCGAGCACCCCACCTGGTGCCCCATGGCTACAAGCAAGCGCCCCACCTGGTGCATGCGGTGCAGCACCCCACCTGGTGCATGCGGTGCAGCACCCCACCTGGTGCATGCGGTGCAGCACCCCACCTGGTGCATGCGGTGCAGCAGCAGCTCTCTGACTATCTGCATGGCCAGCTGCTCCGGCGACTGGTCCGTGCGCAGACGAGGGTCCTCCTCCCAGGGCGCATGCACCGCCTGGAGTGTGGGAGAGAAGGGAGGGGGGGGAGGGGGAGGAGAGGGGGGAGGGATGAAGGTTGGAATCCGTGGGCGCTGCTGGGTGATTTTGGTGACCGCCCATGACAAAGCTTCGAAAGGACGAAACCAAGTGCCTGAAGAGTGCAACAAAGCCTGCCAAGGATGAAACCAACCGCCCTAGGAGTGCAACCACTCCCCCTGAAATTGCAACCAAGCCCCCTAAGAATGCAACCAAGCCCCCTAAGAATGCAACCAAGCCCCCTAAGAATGCAACCAAGCCCCCTATGCACGCAACCACGCCCCCCAAGCATGCAACCACAGCCCCTAAGCATGGCAGGGCGAGCAGGGCGAGTGGAGAAGGCAGGGCACTGACATGGTCAAAGAGGTACTCCTCGAGCAGGTTGATGCCCTTGTCGTGCAACGCCGACACCATGAACACCCTGCAGGGGGCGCAGGGGGTGTGGTCATGTGTGTGTCATGCACGGAGACAGGAGGTTTTGATGGGTGATGGGTAATGATGGATGATGGTGGGTGATGGATTTGTGAGGCAGGGAGAAAGGGGAAGGGAGCAACGGGATGACAGGCCTTAACAGTCAAGATGCTTCATCACGGAGAGGAAATGACGGCATGTTGACGGACCAGTAGCAGTCCACTGGTCCAGTGCCGCCCACTGGTCCAGTGCCGTCCACTGGTCCAGTGCCGTCCACTGGTCCAGTGCCGTCCACTGGTCCAGTGGCGGTCCAATCACTCCACCCACCCACGCACCCACCCACCCATGCTCCCACTCATCCCATGCAGTCCCACTCGTTGCCCTCCTCTCCAGGGAATGGAACGTGCTGACCTCCTGTGCGAGCCACTCCACCTCCACCCATGCAGCGCCTGTTCATCCCATCCGATGCAGTCCCACACACTCCAAACACCCACACGATGCCCACCTCTCCAGGGAATGGTACGCGCTGAGCTCGTGTGCCAGCGGCAGCAGCAGGCGCTTGTCTTTGACCAGGTCCACCTTATTCAGCAGCACAATGCGCTGCTGCCCCTCCCACTGCTCCCACGCCTCCCATTCGCCCAGCACACCCCTCACCTCTCCAGGGAGTGGAACGTGCTGAGTTCCTGTGCCAGCGGCAGCAGCAGGCGCTTGTCCTTGACGAGGTCCACCTTGTTCAGCACGGCTATGCGCTGCTGACCCTCCCGCCGCTCGCCCCCCACCACACCCACCAGCCGCCGCACCCGTGGGTCGGGCCTGCGAGGTGTGGGGTGAGAGGGGATGGGATGGGGGGAGAGTATTTTTGTATGGAAGAGGGAAGGGTTGTGAGGAAGCGGGAAGAGGAGGAGGCGGACGACGAGAGGGAGAGAGAGAGAGAGAGAGACGGTCAATCATGGGGAGAGTATCTGTGACTGTGTCTCTGCCGCATAGCACTGCCACATGCAACTCCGATACACAAGGTGGGCAGCGCAGTGACGGCATGTAGAAAGAAGCATCAGCAAACTGCATAAACACACAGTACCATTCCTTCCTCCTTCCCTCCCCCCAACACCACCATCCCTCCTCATTCCCATCCCCATCCTCTTCCCACATGAAACCCCACCATTCTCCCCTCCATCCCCCTCCGCCCCGCTTGCCCCCACTCCATCCTCCTACCTCCTGATCTGCCTATCAGTATCGATCACGCGCGTCCCACACGGTAAAACTCGCCTCCTCCCCTCTACCCATTAACCCCTCTGCCCCTCTGCCCCTCTCCCCCTCTCCCCTCTCCCCGCCCCCCCCCCCCTACCTCCTAGTCTGGCTTTCCCCCCACCCTCAAGCACCCTCCTACCTCCTGATCTGTCTGTCGGCGTCGATCACGAGCGCCACCACGTGGCAGTGCAGGGTGGTGGACGAGGCGAGGTGCGAACCACGGCTCTGGGACGACGACAGCGGCTGAGATGGCACCGCGACTGTCAGACCAGGGGTGTCGTGAAACACCTGCGAGGGGAGGGAGGGGAGGCGTTTGGTGGAGGGGGAGGGCGAAGGGGCAGAGGTGGATGAATGGAACAACAGGAAGGGCGATGCGGGTATGCATTGAGTGTGGACTGCCAAGGGGAACCGTCTGGGGGACTGGTTGGGGGATGGGATGCTGGCGGGGGGCAGTGGCTGCGACGGCACCGCCACGGTCAGCCCAGGAAGGGGGGGAGGGGGATGGATGGATGGATGGAAGGGGTTATGCGGGGTTTGGAGGGGTCTGAGGGAACAATAGGTGAGGGCGGTTGTGCAGTGGAAGTTGACTACCGACTAGGAGCCATCTGCATGAGACTGTAGAGGTCCAAAATCCGTTATGCTTCGTGACAGTCTTGACACAACGCATTCCGAAACTGTTGAGGGCTGACTGCCAACTCGGAGCCGGCTGGGTGTGACAGGGGCGCTGTCTGCCGACAATGGATGGCGCTCTTTGAGGCGCCTCAAAAATGGATGGCGATGCATCATGCACCCCCCCCCCCAACTACCATCACAGGATAGCCCGGTGGATAGTTTTGAGGCGCCTCAAAACTAAAAATCACAGGATAGCCCGGTGGATTGGATAGGGGAGAGTAGAGGCTCATTCCAAGCAGTAGAGTGACCTGGTGGCCTGCGTGTGCCCGCACTCACCAGCTGCGTGGGGCCCGTGGTGCGAATGCCCAGCACCTCCCTCTGCGTCGTGTTGGTCTTGCGCGACACTGCTGACACCTTCACTCCCACCTGCGAACAAGGAGGGGGAGCAGGGGGGGAGGGGGGGGGAGAGAGGGGGGGGCGGTGAGACAAAGGGGGGAAGGCCAGAGTGTGAGTGTATGAGAGAGAGGGAGGAGGGTTGCAAGAGAGAGAGGCACTGCAGGTGAGGGTCAGAGAGATAGATGAGTGGTGAGAGGGGGGGTATGTCTTGGGGCTGATACTGCAACGCAAGGCAGCAATGTAGAACCATGCTGCACATGGAGTCTATTTTTGAGGCGCCTCAAAAATGTAGAACCATGCTGCACATGCCAGTGTATGCACCACCCTCAACCCTACACATCCGCGCTCGCATTTCCCCTTTCACTTCACGCCCCGTTAAACCCCGACCTCAAAACCCTCCTGTCTCTTCGCCCCTATTGTTTCTACCAACTACTTCCCAACCTCTAACCTGCCGCTCCAATCCCCCTCTTACAATTCCCCCCCAATTCCCCCTCCCCCTCTACACCCCGTCCCCCCGTTCCCCTCCCCATCCCCCTTCCCCCCACCAGTCGGTTGGTCAGGGCAGACTTCCCCGCGTTCGGCGCGCCCACCAGCGCCACGCGCGCAAACCGCTGCTTCTCCACGGGCACCGCCCCCTCCCCCTCCGCCTGCCCCCCGCCCGGCTCCCCCAGCCAGTCCCCCAAACCCCTGAACCCCGGCCGCCACCCCCGCTCCCTGAAGCTCCTCCGCCACTCCTCCTCCTCACCATCATCCGCTTCCCCCTTCGCCCCCGCTTCCCCCTTCGCCCCCGCTTCCCCCTTCGCCCTTGGTTCCCCCGCAACCTTGACCGCTCCCCCGTCCCCTCCCCCGCTCCCCCCCTCGCCCTCCCCCCCCCAGTGCCGTTGCCCCTGGCTCATCCCCGCGAAGAGCCGGCCGCTGAGGATGGCGTCGGCGATCTGCTTCGCGCTGCGGAGATCCGCCTCCGACGCCACGCCGTACCCCGCCATGTCGTCATCATCCTCGCTATTGCCCTCCCCGGTAGTGTTACCCTGTCCAGCATTGGCAAGACCTTCTTCTGTTGATCTCCCTCCCTCCGCCATCCCATCACCTCCTCTCTCCTCGCGCATTCGGCTCTGTCGCTGCCTCTTCCGCAGATCCGCCTTCTCCTCTTCCCCTAAACCCACTCCCCTTGCCACAACTTCTCGAACCTCTTCTCGAACCTCTTCCCGAACCTCTCGCCGCTCCTCCTCCCTCCCGTCGTCTCTTACATCCCTCACACTGTCATCGCAACCCCCTCTTCTGTCCTCCCCCTCCCCCTCCCCCTCCCCCTCTGCTCCCGCCAACGTCGCTCCATCGCTCACACGCGCACCCCTCCCACTCTCCTCCCAGCCAGCTCCCTCTCCCGACGGTCCCGATCTCTCCGCGCCAACCGGCGGCTCCGATCCAACGGGCGCGACGGCTCGCGAAGAGTGAAGAAGCCGGGGGACTAGAGCGGGCGGAGCGGGGTTCACGGATCGAAGAACAGGCGAGGGAATGATCGCGTGGCTGCTGTGGAGGCGAGGATGATGGCGATGATGGTCATGATGGTGATGACGATGATGGCTGCTAGGCGACGAGGGGAGCTGTGCGGATAGGCTGGCGATTAATCGACTCGACGCGGGAGAATTGGAGTCGCACGGACGGTTATGGCGAGAGAGGGCTGGAGGCGGGGGGATTTGGGACGGGTTGGAATGACGGAGGGAAGGCGTATGCGACGAATCGTTGACGCGAGGAGGATTGGTAGGCGATAAATCGGTGGGTGGATGGCTGGTGGATAACGAGCCGTGCGACGACGCGAGAGTTGCTGTTAGCGACAGTGCGAGGTGTTCGCGAAAGGATGCGTGGCGACGTGCATCGTTGAGTATCCCGCTGCGAGCGACGGTTATCGCGCGGCGACGAGCGGAGGGCGATCGGAAGGCACGGCCCGCCATCTAGACGACGACGATGCGGCCAGTCGGTGGTCTCATTGCCGGATGCCGCCACGACGTGGTTCGGGGAGGCACGGCGCGCGTGAAGCAGAGATAGAGGGTCTTGGAGTGACGGTCAAATCAGTAGCCATCGCACCTGGCCGATGTAGAGGCCTCTTCCTCGAATACTCGATAAAAGCGTTTCATCACTTCGAGAAAAACGCGAGCAGGATATGTACACGGAATACGGAAATCCTAGGTCTCTGAGCATTTAGCATGCTATGGAAACGCTACCAGAACCACCACTCTAATTCGTCTTGCAGCAGGAATTGTGCTGGAAACGTGAAATTTGTTAGCAACATAAAGCTACTAACATAAACAACGATGCATTGGGGCGTGCATTGGCTACAATAGACAGGTTTTATGCAACACGTTAAACACTGCGGTGAGAAAAATCAGTCCAGCAACTTGGAGCACGGCCTTAGCACATGGACAACTCTGCTCTTGCCCATGCCAAACCACCATATGAATCATTTCTCCTGCCCACTGGCCATCACGGCCCCTTGCTTTATCGTCCATTTTCATCACCTCATATCAACCTTCTGAACAATTACCCCCTCCCTCTCAGCTCAACAAAACTCCACATAACTAAGATGCATGCAGCCGTGCAGTCCACAACCTTTCCTGCCCATGAGAGGCTGTACTGTCCTTTCAACAACTTCCACCTCCAACCCGACGACCATCGCATTCACCCGTGCTACGTCCGCCCGCAGCTCACGAGCCACCCTCATGCACCGGTCTAACGTCCCGCGGGTAGTCATGTCGAGAAGCTAGGTTAGGAGCTAGGCATAGGAAAGTAACGAGAGGTTTTAGACAAGGAGAAAATGTTGAGAGAGAAGAGGATGAGATTAGAAGAGAGAGGGATACAACGAGGGAGTTGTATCCTCTACAATAGGATTCAACAAGGTAGCACACCTACCAAGCCTAAACAAATAATTATAGAAGTATATAATTTGACACACCCCTTACGCTTGGTAGTCGAAAGCCCACCCAACACGAAACACCTCCAAACCCTGGCACCCCAATGTCCTGCAGCAGGTGTGTCTTCTACCCTTCGTGCGAAGCGGTGACACCCCCGGCGGGTGGCAGTAACGGCGTCAGCGGCGGCTTCGACGACAGCGGCGGCAGCGGAGCTGGTAGCGGCGGAGCCTGCTGCACCTGTACCGGCGGCGGCGGCGATGGCGAGGCTCGCGGCACTCGGCGGCGTGGCACGACCCGGCGATGGCCGGGCATTGAGTCAGCAGCTGCGGCTGGAGTAAGGGGAGACGCAGGGGGGAGGGGGGTGCGGTCCAGCAACGCGCCCGTGGCTGGCGTTTGGCTGGCATGCAGGCGTCATGGCTGGCGCCAAAAAGAAGCGCGGCCCGCTGGCGCCCGTGCGCTGGTGCGGCGATGCCGCCACGGCAGCACGACGACGGCGCCATAGCGTAGTGTCGACGCCACGGCAGCGTGTCGAGGCTGCCACGGCAGCGCGACAAAGCCACCATGGCAGCACGACATGGCTGCCACGGTGGCGCGGACGTGACAGGAAGGAGGAGAGGACCCTGCGGAAGCGTGAGGAGAAGGCCCGAGCGGAAGGGCCTGCTGTGGTACCATGTCGAGAAGCTAGGTTAGGAGCTAGGCATAGGAAAGTAGCGAGGTTTTAGACTAACAGAAAATGTCGAGAGAGAAGAGGATGAGATTAGAAGAGAGAGGGATACGAGGAGGGAGTAGAACCCTCTACAATAGGATTCACTCAAATTGAAAACGTTCGTGGACTGTCAGATTCGCCAGCTAGTAGTTCGACGGTTGAGATTACGCGACGAATTACTGGTGGTGCAATGGAGTAACGAATTGGCTTGAGGGCCGACAGATGGGAATCTAAGTGGAAATGGACGGCCGAAAAACGCACTACACATGGAGTCCCAAACAAGGCTCTTGGTTCAAGGGTAAACATGCGGAATGTCAGGTACATTCCGGGTCTTTCCCGCTGAAATCCTGATTTTGAGGGTTTCGGACTCACAAACCTCCTGACTCATTCCGGGCGTTTCCAAGGAACTCCCTGAGCAATCTGGATTGCGCGAAGATTTATCCTGGCCATCCGACTGGCATGGAAACTTACACCTGCTGAAATTGCAAACCACTCCCCCCCCCCCCCCCCCCCCCCCCCTTTTCCTTTGCAACCTGAAGGTGCGACCCATGGAACTTTCACAACCCCTTAATATCACCTTAGCCAGGTTGCGCACTGTCCCTCTAAGTTGTACGCATTTCTGTCGCGATTGACAAGGAAAGTGTCGAACTTGGTGTGGTGGTGAGGGACAGCAGAAGCAGCAAGTGTGCTCTGTATTCTTCTCCATCGTTTCTTCCATCGATGTCCTTCCTGCTTGTACTCGACGAGCACACAGGTTTCGCTGATATGTAGGGAGTACCAAAAAACATTATGAATTTCAGATTGAAATGTCAAAATATTCATGAAATAAAAAGATACTTTCTAGGGAATGCTGAATTTCCAGGGTCTTTAGTGACGCGAACCCTGAGACCGCTGGGTCTTGAAAAACGAAAAATTAGCCCTGGTCCCAAAATGCTTGGCCCACTGAAATTGAAAGCTACCCTTGACTCACAAGAGCCACGTTACCCCACTCGACCCCCACGAAAGCACGACTTTCAAACGCACTGCGTTTGAAGGCCGCGCCTTGTAATTTGGGCCGTGGGTTTTAAAGGACCCATGGTCCTAACCTGGGGGACGGGGGGGGGGGGGGGGGGGGGGGGGGGTTTCTTCTACAGGCGAAGCTCGTTAGAGTCGCACAAGATTTAAGGGTGCCGGGGATTCAATCGCTCAAGTATTTCGCATGCCCTCGCCACGGGCAAAAGAGGCTTTCGCACGAGCAGACGACGAAATGGGTGGGTATTTGTGGGGGGGGCTTGTGTGGCGATGTTTGTTGCTAGTGTGCGACTCTTGTAAAGTGATCAGGCGATGGCAGTGCACACTTTTGTGGCGACGAAACCTCGTCGGCAACGACTTGTCCCTTGCTATATGTTGGTCGCAGACACAATCATGAGTGACTCAAACGGATCTCCCATTGCCCGTATATCGGGGGCTTTGGGAAACGATTCTGATTGGGCGCCATGTTGAGTTGTGATAAGGTTGGGCATCGTCTAATCCCGCATCCAGCTATACCGAACGCATCCCACGAAACATACCTCCGCGAGTTTAGGGTTTACCCATCCCGAAATGACATGCGGGTCCCTATGGGTTTTTAATTTGTTTTGCCACGAGCAGCATGTTTGCCTGATTTGCGTACCTAGGCTAGCCCGAAAATGTTTCATTTCGCAGCAGGTTCGGATTTGTGGTTGTAAATTTAGCGGGAAATGACCAGAAAGAGTCCTCGCTTCGCCAGGAGAGTGAGCAAAAAATGTCAGTCGAACTCCGAACCTGTAATACAATAATTATGCTCTATAGTCTTTTCTATTAAACGTTTCTCAACAAAAGGGCATAAAATAAAACCCATAGCGCATAAAAATAAAACCCACACTGGATGGCATCAACCCTAAACTCGAGGTCCCTTTGCTATTTCAGGTTGATTCCACCCCGAGTCGCATGCAAGGGCCCTATGGGTTTTAGTTTTATTAGTGCCCTAAAACACTGTTCTTTTAAAATGTCCCACGTCACAGGGCTACACTATGACGCACACCCACAAACCTGCCTTGCGTTGTGAACCTATAATACGTACATGTTGTAAGACGAAGGCTTTATAGCACAGGCTCGGAGACAAGGTCTTGGGGCAGAAAGCTGCCGGACCTTTTTTGCTCATTCCTCTTGCGGAGCAAGGACCCTTTTTAATCATTTCCCATATTTAGCTGCCTGTTCTGGCCCCGATTCTCTAAAAGGGGTCAGAGTGACGGGCGCTGCCAGTACCAGCTCCAGACCGGTCCTCGTCGCGGCCTCGTGTGCGGTAAGAACGGCCATACCCCCACTCGTTGCTTCCGTCGTCTAGACGACCTGTTTCGTCTCCGCTTCGGCCCGTCGCCTAACCTCCCCGACTTGCACAATCTGCTCCGTCGTGGTGTTAGGATCTTTGATATGGACATGGATGAGATCATCTTTGCTTTGTATGTGCTGTATGTTGATGACTCTAGTGTGACTGGTTCCTATTACCCTGTGTTTCCTAGTGTAGGTGTGCCCAGCGTACCTAGTTCAGGCTCCCCTACTGCGTCAGGCGTAGGATCCCCTACCTTGTTTAGCCTTCGGTCCTCCCTTGCTGTCGCTACTGCCGCGCTCTCCTTCACCCTGGACTCCTGTGCTTCCCGGTGTTTCTTTCAGGACTCCACTACACTTACGCCGCTTGCCGCCCCCGCCGTAGTTGCTCTTGCAGACCCTTCCTCCGGTCCTGTAGTTGCCCGTAACTCCACTACTCTCCCCTGTACAGCGGTTCCCTTGGGCTCCCTTACAGGCCTGCACATCCCCTCGTTCTCTAGGAACGTAGGTGCTGTCGGTTGCCTCCACGACCTTAGAGTCACCACTACGTTCCCTGAGCACGAGCGATATGCTGTCTGTACTGAGGCCCCCACTGGTGCCCCCCTCACCACGTTCCCCCGGGACCCGGTGTCTGGCCTGTTCATGCTGGACACCGCGTCCCCCCCGGTTGGGATGCCACCCCAGGTAGCAACGTCTTCCCAGGTTGCTGCGGCGTGCTCGTGTCAGTCGCTTACTCACCCGACGCTTCTGTGGCACCACCGTCTAGGTCACCCCGCTCTCACCCGTCTCCGTCACATGTTCCAGCACCGTCTTGTCCTAGGCCTCCCCAAGTCGTTCCGTGCGCTCCCCTCCTCACCAGCGCCTCCGTGCACGCCCTACCTCGAGGGCCGGCTCTGCCGTGCCCCTCACTCCTCCTCGTTCCCCCCCACCGCTGCACTACTGCAGACCCTACACATGGACGTCTGGGGCCTCGCCCCCGTCCATGGGCCGCAACGCGAGCGCTACTTCCTAGTGCTTCTCGACGACTACACACGCTACGCCACCGTGTTTCCCCTGGAGCGGAAGGCCGACGTGCCTGACGTTCTTATCCAGTGGCTTGTCTCTGCGCGTGTT